CAGTTCCATGTAATCGGTTCCCTCTTTCCTACCCATTCTCCCTTTACCCTCCCTGTTTTGCCACTCACACCACTGGTCCTATAGGGCTCATCACATCTGGTGATTTGCATAAAGGTCTCGAGTTATTCGGACACCAGGATCCAAGCCTGAGGGCATCCTTCTACATCTACATGTCTGATTCCCCCACCCTTTTACCTGAGTGCCTTTGGGCCCAGGACTCTGTAAAATGGTGAGAAGTTAATTTTGTCCACAAGATAGGATCTTCAGTGTCATTTTACCTTTCTTTGCCCTCTGGCTAGCCCCACCTCATCTCTTCCTCAGCCTTTAGGTGTCAATTTGAAGTAGGCAAACTCATGAGCCCATTCAATAGGAATATGGATGATTGGTCTCTTCAAAGCCTGAGATAGTGGAATTCATGCCATTTCTGTGAGAGAAATTGGACTCCCAGAACTCCTGAGTCCTGTCCTCATCTTTTGTCTCCGTTTCTCAACCTGAGCTGGCCTAGACTTCCCCTTTTTAAGATGTTCTCCTATACTGCCAAACCTCTGGATATGAATGCGGGGGCTTTCTGCCTGATGCTCACACTAGCTCCGTTTCTGCCGACTTGGCAAGTGTGACCTCAGTGTGGCAGAGAGTACCAGACTGGCTGAACTGCCCAGATCCTATCCAGCCCCTGGGATAGCTGCGTCTTCATATGCCATGATTTACAAACCTCTCAGATTCCCCAGTAGTTCCATGGGCAGAGTCTCTGAACATATATTTATCAAGGGAGGCTATCAGCGCTTTCTAGTCTGAAATAGAACGACTTTTGTGTGGGAGTCCTTTTGTTCTGTTTTGCTCCTCTTAACTAATTGACAACATCTTCAAAGATTTCATTTGATACGAAGTTACATTCATAAGTATCAGGTATTTAGACTTCAGCATATCTTTTGGGGGACACAATTTTGTCTACAACAAGGCCAATCTTAACGTTTATTTTTGGAATACAAAGTAAAACCAGTAAACTTGGAGAATTTTAGAAAGTGCAGAAAAAACATAAAGAAGGCCACCTACATTTGAGAGTGCACCTTCTGTCTCTGTGTAGCCCTATAGTACACTTGAGATAGCATGATTTATATAGTTTGAGCTTTTTACATTTTCTATTATTATCATGGATATTCTCAAGGGTCCATTTTGGGGAAAAATCAGAAAAACTTAAGAAAAAGGCACCAGAGCCCAAAAAGAAGTATTCACACTAGCCTATCCCGACACGAGCGCTGAAGACAAAGCAGGTGCATAGGCAAATGTGGTGAAGAAAGCTGACAGTGCCGGGCTGTCAAAATATATAGAATC